TTTTAAGCGAAAACTGGTTTTCGTTTGTCAGATTTTACATGGATGAAAACATTAGTTTTAAGCCAAAATCCAGTTTTAGCCACGAAAATATGTTTTTTATTCCCGTCCGAATATGGTACAAAAAGGCAGGCTTTTATAAAAAAAAAGAAAGTGTTAGTGAATTTAAGCACACCTTAAGTATTTACCATTTTTTCTATAGAAAAACCTAACCTAATCGTAGTTTTTCCTTATTAGATTAGGATATGTTTCACATTGTCCAACGATAGATTATTTTGCTTTTTGCCTTTCTTGTCTCTATTTAAAATTGTTGTCGTGTATTTTTAAACATGCCTAGATGGGAGAAAATCTAATTGTACTTTATCCCGTGTTTACCAGAAAAATCTTGTTTTTTTCTACTCAAATTTCCACGTCAGCTTATACAAATTTCTCTGCATCATTCAATTTCACTTTCATGTGCAGGTACGTTATCTTAGTGGATTTGAAATGTTGCTCTAATATATGGCAAGACATTAAATTTTACAAATTTTTCTTTAATAAAAACGTTGAAAGTTCAGCGATGGTCGGAAAATCCGATAACGTATGCGAGTAATTTGTTTTCACATTCATTATTCGCATTTTGGCAACAAAGAGATGTCAATGAAAGAAAAACAAGTTTCACGCTTGTTTTACAAACTTCACAACAGCACTTGTGTACATACATACATACATTATGTATGGGTATATACAATGTCATAAACATGTACATGATGTATTTATGCATACATAAGCACAAAAGCGTATGTTCATTAGTGCGTATATGTTGAAGAGCATAAATCCTCGAAGCTTATTCATTTAGTATACTTGGGTCCAATAATATGTACAATATGTATTTATGTGTATTTATATGTATTTATGTGTGCACATACATACACAAATATGCACAGTCCATAAATCTTGTTGGCAATTTCCATTGACACTTCGCCTCAACATTCATCAAACGAACAAATTTATTGGAAAACAAAATCCTACTCGAATTGTACGCACAAAG